ATGTATGCATGTATGCATGTATGCATGTATGCATGTGTGTGTGTACCTCTGAGCAGAGAATCTTTAATGGTTATCGATTAAGTAGGATGAGAAGGATCAGTGAAAATGTTCTTGGAATTACCTGTGCAGTGACAAACATTAAATGCATGCTGGAGCTGTCGATGATGAGAAAGGAGGAACAGAGGGTAGTTGGTGAAAAGAAGCACCCAGTACAGTGTTCTGGATCCTCCTAATTTAGCATGTTGTCAAAACTACTCCACCAATGCAAAGACAGTGAGGGAGGAGTTTTGCAGCTACTTCAACCTTGAGATTGCAGTAAGCTGGGGATGGCAGCATGCATTGTTGGTTAAGAATTTACCCCATTTTGAATATTGAAAAATTATTTTACTCTGCTTTACACATCCCATATGATGAAACATTGTGATGTAACAGCAGTGATCAAACTGAAAGTCTTTACATGAGGTTTTGGGCTTACAACTGTCAAAAAGTGCACAATGTATTTACTACATGTTTGAGGTAAATAATATCTTGCATCACAAATGTCAAACGAGATTTTTAAGTCACAAAAAAGGAAATTTCACTGCTTTCTGAGTCTTTATATTAACTTTTTATACACAAGAATATGGTACATATCTGTTCCATATATTTTGTTTTTGCAATGAAAATGTTCAATTTCTTTAAGTACCAGTAGTGTACAGTGTACCATGTACAGTGTACAGAAAAGACCAAATAGTATCAGGAAGGCTGGCACATTAACTAGACATATATCCAGCCACTCAAGAGCAGCATTTTAAAACATACATTTGTATGTGTGTGTGTCAAATATTCACAATGTTATATTATACTTTGTTGTTCATTATTGATGTTCAAAATAAGCTTGATTTTAGGTATTGCTAGCTAGGGAGTTGGTAGAAACAGAGAAAATCTCCAAGTCATAATGTCATGATATAGTTGATTGACTTTCACAGACTGTCAACTCAAGCTCCCATGTATTTTACATAACAGATGCTGACAATGGTGTTTGAGGTGTGAATGTCACGGCTGTATTAAATATTTTATTTTGAAAGGATGGGGATGTTATAGCAAGGGGAGGTTTAAAAGAGAGAGGGACCTGGATACAGGAAATACTGTCTTACATTTGGCTAATAACTCTCACAACTCTAAAATTTAACAATGATGATCAACAATTTTTCCTCCCAAAATACAAAATGAGACATTTAATTTGAATAGAGCAACTGATGAGTAGGGGAACATTTGCCAAAGCTGTATCTATGGTGCCCATGGTTAATTACCATAAAGTAGTATAATCCAGCTTGGATCGTGGCCCTCAAAAATTTGACAACTTGTACTGCTGATTATGCAGTGGTACATTTTCAGTTTGTTTAAGTTTCATTTGTTCATTAAAAAAAAGATTGTTGATCTGTACCTTAATGTGAAGCTTTGTTTTGGCATTCAGCAGTTTTAGTTGACTGGCAACATCTGGCCAAACATGTCTTTGTTTGTTGTTGGTAGTTTGGGGCCAGGTTTTTACATAAAATTAATGGCTGCCTCATACATTTGTGCATGTTTAGCATTCTTATCATCTTCAGCCATACTTCCCCTTGTCTTGGATCATGATGGTTTTCATGTCTGCTCAGCAATACTGTCGGCAGTATTTTTGTCTGGTGAAATTGTACTTCTGGGCTTATTAGGCTCAACTTTGGGATCGGCAACAAACCACATGTTCATCATAAACTTCCAAAATGTTATGTTAAAAATCACCCTGTGTGCCATGTTACACAAGACAACTTTGAACACAACAATGTTGTGTTGAAACTCAGCATTAAACGTCAGCTCGTGTAACATTACCTTAAAAGGTCATGATACACAGTAACTCTGTTAGCATGTCTAATAACTAAATAAAAGTAACTGGTGTTAATTTTTTTTTTATTTTCATGTGAACAAAATAAGGGATTCTCAATGCTTGGGTTTGGTAATTATTGTGACATGTTTGGTAGAGTGGAGTGTATGTAGATCTTGTATCCTTTCTGTGTTCTTTGCCTGACTTATTAGACTGCACACATTTTCTTTTGTTCCCTCAAATGAATAGAGACAAGTTCTTTATGAGCCCAGGATGACAAAGTTTTCTTGAGTCCTTTGGTTACTTTTTTCCTTTGGGTGAAACCATTGATCAGTTGTTTTGTCAGATCAAGCCTGAGTCTGATTCTCAGTCACTTCTCTTTCTTGTGGCTAGCATGGTGAGTGGATTTGAGAATATACCCATAACACACTAAAAGATTAAATAAAAACTAAAAGTTGTACCTATACCATTTTCATGAAAAATAACTAGTGAAATAAAGTAACAAAGTTGATTGGCTTGGTCGATGTTACCCATGGTTGCTGTGGAAACATTGGTGACACAGGGCTTTTTAATGTGTGATACTGCTCATTGTTGCCGTGTTGATCAATGCCTGGGGCTTCACTAAGGAAAAACATTTGAAAACAAGAAAAAGTGCCTCTTAAGCGTGCCATTTTGTGAAAACTAATTGCTATGCTAAGCAGAAACCTTTTCTTACTGGTTTGTTTGCACATGGAGGCAATCAGAAACGTGATGTTTCATGGTCTAGCCTTGCATTAGATACTGTGAAAAGAAATTTTTTCCCACCATTTTACAGTCCCAACAAATATGGTACACAGATTTTATTACCTTGCACTATTTCACTCTCCCAAAATCAGAAAGAGCTGCTTTCAGCGCAGTTGCGTTAACAGATTGTGGGGCTCCATACAAGAAAGGTAGTCCACATTTTCTCTACTCCTTACGACTAGAAATAGTGTTCACTAAAGCTGCACCCACTTTTGATAATTTGTTTATGGGATGTGTATTGAATATAAATACTGTGCATACGACTGTTGAAAAATTAACGTGTCAAGCATTTTATTGAATTTCACATTTAAGTAGTCAACATATTTATCTGTAAATTTGATAATGTACAGTCATTCAGTATTGTATTAATATTCTGTGTAACACCAACATATTGTATGTTATTAAACTCATGTAATTTTGGAAAAAAAAGAAAACAGGTCACCAGAAACCATTACAACAATAACCAAACTTGCAACAATGTAACTCTATTACAATTATGCAATTAATATTTGTGTAACTGGAAAATTTTGTATGTCAATAAATTTGTGAAATTTTTCGGGAAAAAACATCACCAATAACCATTACAACAACAACAACCAAACTTGCCACAATGTATTGGTAGAAAATCTAATTATCTGCAATCTATTTATCCACAAACCATATGAATCTATTACAACTATGCAGTTAATATTCTGTGTAACAGGAACTTCTTTTATATGCATGTCAATAAATTTGTGTAATTTTGGGAACAAACATCTTCAATAACCATTAAAACAACAACAACCAAACTTGCAACAATGTATTGGTAGAAATTATAATTATCTGCTATCTATTTATCCATAAATCAGGCAATATGAATCTATTACAACTATGCAATTAATATTCTGTTGAATAAATTTGTGTAATTTTTGGGAAAAACATCACCAGTAACCATTAAAACAACAATAAGCAAACTTGCAACAATGTATTGGTAGAAAATATAATGACCTACAATCTATTTATCCTTAAAACAGCCAAACCATGCAATGTTGTTTTCCTATTTTCTTTCTTACAAGATTTTGTGTTAAAATAGCATGGTGGTTCCTTTAGCAACAATCCTTTCTTTTTCCAGGTTAGTAATATATAACAACAATAATTATCAAGCTTTCATGAAAATACCACTAGAAAGGGTTGTGATAAGAGTGATTTTACTTGGCTTGTGAAACAATATATAACTGCTAGTGCATCATAGTCAAAAGTAAACAAAAGATAACAATGAAGTCAGTGTGTAATACTAACTTATAGTGTAGAAACTATTTCACGGGTCAAGTTAAAACATTCTTACATATTAAATTATTGTCTGTCTAACTGTTTTTACCAGACAGTTAGCTGTTCGCTTTTCCTGTGAAGTGGTATGGGTTTTCATATCTATAACAAGTTAGTTATTTGAAGAAAGCTGAAAATCTACATTTTCCAGCAACAACAATTTCTCAGTAAGATCATCAATATTGTCTTTGTATTCCAAGATGTCCTCTTGAAGGAAGTTCCCCACGATTTTGGGAAATGCTGTCACGGAAAAGTGGTGCTTTTGGTTTTCCAGATGAAAATTTATATTCATCTCAATATAACAGTTCTCCAGAAGCGTTATTCTGTTGCAATGTAGACAACGAACAATGTTTGACCCAGGATTTTCACTAATTTTTGCGACAGTCTTTGTTGTTGTACACTGGATACACTGTTGGATAAACATTCTTGATTTCTGGACAGCACACCCAGTTTTGTTTGTTCTGTGATTGCTCAACATTTGAGATGTCCTGCTCTTTTGCTTTGGTAACTGCGGTGTTGACTGTGGTGGCAAAGTGTTTTCCAAAATACTGCTTGAGCTTGGAGTTGGTCACAGTGTAGAACTATTTGTCTTCAATCTGTTGGATGTGGCTATCCCAGACTGATAAATTTATAGTTCCAGAAGGGTCTGTTAATTCAGCTCCTCTTACCATTTTGGTTGCGTGTTCTGGTTTCAGTAGTTCTCCAAGCCATTTAATGCAACCAGAGACAGTGAAATTTCAAGAGTTGTGGTTCTTGAGGATTGTATCTACAGATGTTGCTGTCATTGGTGCCAGTGGTTGGAATGGAAACTGAACAGAATGTGGAGGTGCATCTTGAATAGCTGTACCCTTGTTTAGAAATACCATGTTGCTTGGTGTTACTTGGAGGTTGGACAGTGTTATTGGCTGCTGGGTTTGCAACTTATTTAGAAAAAATTGACGTTTGGATGACTCTCTTCTTTGTACCATGACTCTTACAAATTGGGTTTTATCTCTTTCAGTTTGCAGTTGTATGTCAAAGTACAAGTTTTTGGTACTTTTACTTTCCTGCACTTCTTGAACTTCTTGTATGTATCCAGTAAAATCTGTTAAAGAAAAAATATTTCTGAAAATGTAGCAAAATTCAGTACAAAAATTTAATGTGCAATATTTTATAGCTCATAGTAGTTTTATTGTAGTGTGAATAATTTACCATGGTACAGTTAACTTAAACATGAATCTCTATTTAAAGAAGATTTATTTCTGTTTTCACTAGGAAAAAATGAAGGATGCCACTGTTGTTGTTTAGATTAGTCTTATCGGTCTTTTACTGCTGGTTTATGGTTAAGACTGTTTAGTGGAGATTGGCATTAACAATAGTAGACATAAACAGTAAGAAATAATTAGCAGTATAAATACATTACAAAATAGAGAAAAGACTTGTTGTTGAGCTTGACAAAGGTGTTGAAGTTGGGGATTCAGGGATCCCATACTTAGCTCTCTTTGTGGGGCTCGCACTGGCATAATTATCCCTCTTTGTGGGGCTTAGCTGGCAGAAATAGCCATCTATTAAATAGAGTTGAATGATTTGTAAGTGACCTTAATGATACTGAAAAAAACATTTTAACATAAAATGTATACTTTATAACTTTAAGTGTATAAGTTTTGTAGGCAATATTTACTTATTTTGTATTAATAAAGTGTATTATCGTTTGTCTCACAAAGTAGTCACTTGAGATGTAGATCGCGACGTTTCGACTGCTTACTGCTAGTCTTCTTCAGGCGATAAGGTCGACTGATTGCACGGTATCATTTATATCAC